TCAGATGCTGCAAATTAGTCGTTACAGCCTTCGGTTAATAAAGTCTGCTAGAAGGAGTTTTCCATTCCGGCAGCGAGTTGAAAGCCTCTCAGAATCTGCTCAAGTTCTCCATCGAATAAGTAGACAGCCTAGTTTTACAAAAACACTCTCTACGTTCGCTGATCTGGCCTATGATATGGGACTTTCCAAAACTTCACCGAATGCTTCACGTGTCAGCTTAATCAGGAAAGTGGAAAACGTGATTGGTTTCGAATACGAGCGGTTAGCAGCAATGTTTGAGGGTGGTCTCGCCGCCAAATTTCTCAATGCGCGCATCGCGTCGTTGTTGGACCGTTTCACGGCTCCTTGTAGTCGGTTCGGAGTCATCGCAGAAAACGTGGTAGGCACCACCTGTGTCACTACTGGGGTGTCGCGCCCTCCCGATGAATTTGTTCCCATTTTGCAGCGTGTTTCAGCGGTTGGATTAACTCTTCTGATTGTAATAACTGTCTGTCCGATCAATTTTGTCATCTACGTTTGCATTATTCAATACCTCTCCCGACAACGCTGCGCATAATTACACTGTCCTATTTTATTTACGATTTGGCATTTCGCTTGCGATTTTATTTTTTTACAAATTAAAATGAAATCCTGCAATTTCGATAGCTCTTTTTTTTCTATTATCTAACATCGGCCATCTTCTATCACTAGTTTTTTTGAAGGAAAGCGACTTACCGCAGAGTGAAATAGAAAAAAAGCCTCATTATTTGTACTTTCATCTGGCTTGAAGTACCACGCCACAATTTATTTGAATATATTATTAAAAGACCTACGGTTATTTTGCAAAATAAATGCATAACTACTTGAGCTTTTGCATGTGTCGACTGACCGACTATTATAGCTTTAGGCGCGTGTTTTGGGTAATAAAATCTGGTTAAATTCGATTCCCATCACCTTTTATGGAGTGAAGGCAAAGCACCATTAAAGGAGCTAAAATGCCACTTGAATTAATGTGAATTCATGTTATTATCAAAGCCATTCTCGGTCGGTAATTACAGTTTGTTCTTGGTGTGAAACAATTAAAAATGGCAAATCGCTTTTATATTAGTTATTGTTGTGTAACTGCCATTAATCACCAATAGGCTTAGATTTTCTATGAGGATGCCAGGACTTGAATCGTGTGCCGATTCCAAAAAATGTCTGCTGGTGTAAGGCGTAGGTACTCGACGGGCAGGAGAAATCCACAGTTGTCTGGTCAAAAGCAATGCATAAACAATTTGTCCCACCAACTTCATATTCACGTCCCCTGGAGCAAAGCCTTCAATGAAGCTGCATAGCATAGCTATCTTTTAGATCTACGCTTGTATTGAGTCGTGATGACAGGTCCCTCAACTCTGTCAACTAATGCGCAGACAACGGCCCCAGTTATTCTCTCTCGTGCAGACACGACTGCTCATGCGGTCTTGTGCACATGCTATCATTCAACCATCTGTACAGTTACTAGTTGGTCCGAATTCTATTGGTTAGTTACTGCCATATTGATGACCCTCTGTTCATGTTTGCGACTTGAATGAACTTTAATCTCCGTCGCCTCTAATCTTCTTTACCTTATAGGCTATCTAAGCAGCGTAACTGGGTCACTATATTCTGGCAAACCCCTTTAGGCTAATCTTAGGTCATGTAAGTGTACAAGTTAAATCATGATTATTGGAGCTACTGCTGCAACATTAAGCCACGTAAGCCTAAATTACCCATCCTGATTTTGCCATTTGTGATTTTATTTCGACTAGATCTGGTGATTACCCAAATGAATAAATAAAATGTCTAATGGGGTGTTTCAAGGTGGTTTCATTGATAAATATATAAGAACGGGCATGCAGATAAAATATGACGATATAAAATATGTTAAGCCAATGGAAGGCTGCAAATCATCTAGCGTTTTGTGATTCATATTGATTCGCACTCGTTAATCCGATCACTCAAGCCTCCGACACAATGTCCCTCTTCTCCACGCATGTCGTCAGCTACACGGATCCTCAACTCCCCTCTCATCAGCGCATACAATTATCCCAGATAACAATGCAATGATCTCGGTGTTAGCACATTTATGACCAACGCTGTTTCACCCACTTGAGCTATATATACACTCGCGTAAATGCCACCCACAACACGACGACACCAACTTGGCTGAGCTCGAAAGTAAACGGCTGTGTCCACGTCCTCTCCGGTTGTCTTCATCATCACGGGTAGCAGGGTAGCGTAATCGAGCCAGATCCAACTCACTGGCTTCGGTGTGATTCATGACCACATGCTGGGACAAATAGCAGAGCATTCATTTGCATCTGAAATAACTTCCAAAAAAGGTTGCATTAAGCAGTTTGCTTTATCATGATCACAACCCTATTGGTAATGACAATTCACCTTTACGAATGATCACTGATCTTAAACAAGCAGGATATTTTTAATAAAATAAGCCTCTGAACGAAACTGCTTCAATATTGACTTGTTGTGACTAGTAGGGCCTTTAGTTTTCACATCAAAAGTATGGAACTTTGTGGATCTGGTAATTGAATAGCGTCGTAAAATTAGGAAACCGAAATTCCTGTCGTGGATTAGGTAAGTGGCTGTTTGACGAGTGAAAAATCGTACCGGAAGTAAAGCTAGAGGCACTTTGATGTTCTAACCGGTCTGAGGCAGCAAAGTGTGACAACCAGAACTATTAGTGCTGACTATTGACATTTGGAAACAATCCTAAATTTGAATAAACAATAAACAGTTATACAATTGCTGATCCAAGGTCATCAGTGCACAGCAATTTGAATTGCAGAAAGGTCAACAATAAAGCCACCGAGGCGGATCAAAAAAAAATGAAAATTGTTATTCTGTAGATGTATCGAACTGAGGAAGTGTCAGTTTCTACAAATGTTGACCATTAGACCATGCTATTTCCAATGGCTACCACGTAAAATTAGCCTAACCGGAAGGAACAACAGCCAGGATCCTACTTGACTTACCCAAAGACCTAGATGCTGGTGTTCTGCGTATATGCGAGCCGTTGCATTGTTATACCCGTTCAGACTGGACATTTTAAAATGCAGTAACAACCGGGCTGCTTGACTCCCAAGTAATCGTAGAAAATGGGAGGTGAGGTGGACTTGAACTTCCATTCACCGTCTTAGCATGAGTTATCACTGTGTGCGTGAGTGGATTTATGGGGTCCTTGTGAACATAGATTAATAAAAGGTATGGATTAGTGAAATCAATTAACCAGTATTTGGTTAAACTTGGATTGATTCTATCCGCAGCTGAAACAGATTGGACTGATATTTCAATAAAGGATTTTGGAAGTTATAGCAATGTGGTGCCTTTCAGCCAATACAAAGTTTGAGAGTAGCACTGAGCTAAATTATCAAATGTTGTTCTGAATTTGTCAAATCAAAATTAAACTCAGTGGTATATACAACGAAAAGGACACTTAGAAGTCTACTGGTGTTGTTTTATGTAATTAAGTGAATGTTGCTAAAGACAAATTTTTAAGTAGTTGATCTAATTTCCTAAAACAGTAGTTTCCATGACAGCACAAGTTGTGGGAGATCGCCTGCTCACAGATACTATGACTCCCAAGCTAATTTTTTATTCATAATTCTTGCGAATATAACCCATTTGAATGGTATTTGAAAAAAATCTTTAACTTGGAGTGTGGAACCAGAATCCCTTTGTCGGGGCTCATACGAAACGCAGATGTCTCGACGAAACGAAAACGACAGATACAGGTGGCATAAAGTGTTTGGTATTGTCTTCTATGCAAACCTGAGTGGAACACTAGTGCATGGGATGATCGACGAGTCAGGTTTGACGTGAACCAACACACGTAACTCCACTGTCTTGCCGGGCTGCAAACTTAAATCTTCAACAAGTAAATTTTTCCAGACTTTGTAAATACATAATGCAGGCTTGAATGTGGAACAAGAGCACTAACATTAATCTAAGAGAATTGTCTATAATCCATAAGCATTGGATCCAGCAAGCAAGTCAGATTGGTGCGTCAATTGTTTTAAACTCAGAATCAACCGTATGCTACCAAAACGAACCGAACCGCAGGACTGATCCGGTTTTCCTTACTAGGTGAAAATTACTGAAAATTTTACATTCTTCTACTTGCTTTGGGGAGCTATTATATTCGATGATGTGATTATGAAGTTCAGGGAACGATTTAGTCTGAAACACAACTAACGACTACGGTTAAGTCTTTGAAAGTGGACATTAGTTGCTGGGATCAATTCGTTAAAAGTATTTGTTTATTTAAATTTTTTTAAGTCAGAAATTTGAAGTAAATAGAGGTATTTGTACTTGTTTATTGGAACATGAGCATTTCAATAACTTTGTCACTCCTTAAACACTAAAACGCCTTGCAACTGCATTTACATACCTTTGGATCACGTGTTATGCTAAATAGTAAGCCCTGGAATTGAGTGCTGTATTTACTCAAGTCCAATAAATTGTCTTCAAATGTTTACTTTTCTCTGATTAACGACTCTCAAAGGCACAAGTCAAACAGAAAGACTATTTACCTAACCGAATATAAGTGCCTTAAATAAAATGGCAAAACCTGCTATACGTATAAACACTAGATTTGGGCAGACTTCAAAATTCCAAAGAAATAAATTTGATAAATGAGGCATTTTTGCACAACAACCATTACATGGAGCCTATCAATAATTTTCGACATTGTGTATTAGAGGCACGAGAACGAGAAGCAAACTTTGCCATTTACATTTCCCCAAAACTCGTCCCATTTCGCTGAACAGCCAATTGGATGGTACGTTTTAGCTTTTGCAATAACCACCCCCGGGAACCAATCAAAATTGCATGAATTCTGCTCAAGCAAGTTTAGCCTATCGATCGATTTAAGAAAGCATCTCGTTGGACAGCTACCACGCTGGCAGCATCAGCCACCAAATGTCTAACAAAATTTTGGTTGAGGTCAAGTAAAGACAGTTTCGGGAAATTATCATAGCAAGATGAATTTCGGAAATTTCTTTCGCAATCTTTCACAAGATAAAGAGGCAAGTAACGCTAGCGGAAGCGGTTTATTCGCAGCCCCGGGTCGTCTTCTAGAATCGGTTACTGCGAAAACGGGAAGTCTTGTCTCAGATCTTAGCCACAAAGTTGATTTGGCCAAAAAAATTGATACGCTAAAGAAATACTCGTCTATGGATAAATTTGGCCAGTCTGTCTTGGGAACAGCGTTCCAGACGAACCAGTCAAATGATCCAACAAACAAACCCACAGAAGGAGAAACACAGCTAGCACAACCTCTCTGTCAGGAACAACGACAACAAAACTATAGAAACAAACAATCAATAGACCAGATTTACAGCGACCAACCACCAACGCAATCTGGCCTTCAGAATCGACTTTTAAACGAGCAACGGGACTACAAAGGCTCCCTAGAGCAGCCAAGCTACACTGGTGAATTACCGACTAATCAAAATCAACAACCAGAACAGGATATATTTAAAAGTCCCCAAAACATTCTGCACCCACAAGAAGAGCCCACATATGGTTATCAGAACAAGGCACACGAACAGACAGACAATCAAATTCGTTCGCCAAAACAATCAAGCTGTGTGGACTATCCACGATTTCAAGAGGATGATGGTTTTTTGACTCAGCAGCCTCGAGAAAAGACTTGGGCACTGGAAAAAGAGAAGCCAATGGAGGAGCCACCTTTTAGTGGTCAGGAATACCGATATAAGTCAACTTTTGAAACACCCCCTCAGCCAAGCTTGAAAACATTTGGCGATTTGCGGAAATTTGGAATTGAAGAGGACATGGAAAGAATGTCTTTTGATGAGCAAATAACTGATCGCCATAAAAACCCCTTCAACTGCGAGACCTCTTTCGATGCAACTAATGCAAGAAAAAGCACCGCTCCAATAATGCGACAAAGCACAACTCCTGGAGCTCGTCCACCTAGACCACCACCACCTCGGTCCCGATCAGGCCTGAGCTCAGGCAGCATCGAGGAATCACCGTCGGCAACTCCAAAGGAAGCAGCAACATCTCCGACCCCGACGTCACCTTGCGGTTCTTTTCAAAAGACCCTATCGTTTGGAGAAGAAACGGAAGAGGGCGTGACCAAAAAGTCATCAACTAGTGAAATTGGCTACCTAACCCGCCTTCAGTGCCAGGAGATCGTCTCAGCTGTAGATAACATGATTGCTGATGCCATAGAAGAGGCTCCTCAGTACCACCGATACGAACCTATGAAACAGGCCGACTCATACGAATCTAGCTCTCGAGTGGAGGAAATGTGCGGCACGTCAACACCAAGTGACACCGTGTTTGATTCACACAGAACATCGGAGGTGAAGAATGAATACTTTGCTGGAGATTCAGAGGTCAGTTCTGTGTCTACTTATGGGGCTAGTGTAACGGGATCGGCGACCCAGAGAGCAGACGAGAATAAGTTTAAGACAATGGGGAGCACTGACGACTCCTGGGGGAGACAGGATACCCCAGGTGGTTATGATGATGGAGACGCAAAGTCAGCCAAGCATTCGGTAGATTTTGCAAAAACCGCCATATCGGCAGAGGATGTCTCAAGGAAATTCATAAGAGACTACGTTCAAGGCATGATTGCTGGGAAGTAAGTCCGTTTTTATAACATTATTAGCAGCTGCAGTTGTGGATTCCGGGTACATTTTTTTACGAAATGTCTCATCAGTTGGTCATAAGTTGCTATCATTTATGATCTCCTTTTCCTTTAAAAAAGGCAAGTGTCTCGGTGGCTAATTAATACACGGGGAATGAAGAAATGAAAGAATATCACAAGACGCTCTTAATCTGGCGCTGTAGTCGGCTTGCATGTCATCTATGATGAGGTGTTAAACGCATTCAGAAACACGGATCACATCGATTCCCAAGGGCATATAGCATAATCTTATTGGTTAACAAAACTCTTAGCACATACACTGAGCCATTAGTATTTAAGCTTATAAATCTGTAATAGATGTGCTAGTAGTGCGTGTGGACAGTTGAGACAGGCAATAAAATGATTAGGAAAACTTTGCGTTTACAGCATAAACAAGGTTGACGCTGGGATTATGTTCTAAGTCAGCCATCATCAAACTCATTGTTTTGAGATTTCTAAATTTACACAGTAGTGGAACGGCAACCGCTAAGCTGTCCTAAGTTAAATTTCTTTTTTTTATCTAGAAGGTTACAATGTCTCGGAAAATAACCTATTAACCCCCCCCAAAAAAAATCAATTTTACCCCCTTCCGCTAGTAAGGTGTCCTATTTTAATAATTATACCTAGTGCTGACTTCTAATTTATCCAATCAAAAGATTTTCTGTAATCTAACGCGCTACATTGGCATTAAATGCATCTGGGGCTAAGGTGCATTAGGCCTGTGGCAAGCAGTGAGTTGATGTTTACTTCTTGCGAGTTCCAATTAACCCAGAACTGCATTAGCCAAAACTGTATTTTTGAATTCACTTACACTAATTTCTGTGTCTCTTTTAGTGATGTCGCTTTGGAGAGTAAAAATGAAGAATTTAGGGAAAAAATGCTCGTAAGTTTCCTTCACCTGACTGTGCACAGGCGGAAAAATTGGTGGTGATTTTTGAACAAGTTGACGAATCGCAGATCAATGCTAGAATCTAATTGCTACCTGTAATTGTTTTCAGACACCACGTGGTCGTGAATACTTCTCCAAAGCGATGGAACTCGAAGTAAGATTTTGTTCAGGTAACAAATAACAACACAGACGACTTAACTTTACACCTTGCGAGTTTGCTCTTTGCAAAGCGGTTATCCGCGTGATGATCAAGAAAGAAAATATTTAAGAGGGGTGGTTAATTGAGCGATGCCTTGCTTTTATGTGGATTCACAATCGGCAAGACCTTTCAACAAACAAATGAGCTAGAAATCACAGATCGAAGTTATGATCAAGCTACTTTATTTCCACATTTACAAACACGCTGGTCTTCGTGGTATCAGAAAGGCACGCCAGCCAGAAGTAAGTCAAAAGTGAAGGGAATTACAGCAATTGATCTTCATCAAAGATATACGGACGGGGATCAAAAGGCAAATGAAGGAAGCATTTGAAAATAATTGTGCGACGAGGACGCAAACAAATCCCAAGTGATTTAATTTCTTAAGCCAATTCCCAGAAGTGGCTTTGGAGACAGTTCTGACTTGTTGTTCTCTGACTTCCGACTTTCAAGGAAATCTCTGTAGAGCAGCGACTACATTTATAGTATATAATTTGCACTCCGAATTCGTTAGAATTTTATTTGAAAGCACTGTCTTATCATCCGCAATGCTAGTTTGTGCAGCATTCCACAAATTTGTCAAACAGATAGAAGAATGCAATTTGTGGTAACATTATTCTTCCCAACACGACGGATTTGGGTGAGAACTCGGGCACACACCAAAGAATCCTTTTTTATCTGTTTCAGGGTGCTAGAACAGGGGGTCTTCTTAGTGAAAACGGTCTGCGGATGATTCTAAGCAGAGTGGTATTCGTTTTGACCGAATGTCAAAAGTCTGAGGATTTTGTGCCAGCAAAGAGACTCCTCACGGTTTCTCTTGTGTACCACATTGAAGGCAGGTTTTGTACTTTTATTACTAAAACAATTCTAGGTACCACCTTACGATTATGTCCTTAACCAAGTAGATTGAAATATTATAGATTAAATTACAAAGAGGTTATTTTGCGTCGTGTTAATCATATGCTAACAAATGTCCACTAGATAATTATGAAGCTACCTTAATCCTCAAAATTTTCCCAAGCCGCGGTGTCAATTTGGTCATGTGATGAAGGGGACGATTTGACAAAACGGAGCTCAGGACATTCCTAGGTAAGGCCAGATGACGGGATTCTGATTGGGTCAAGGTCAAAGCAAGTGCTCATACGTTCTTGAATTCCCGTCATAAAAAGTTATTAAATTTTACATTCATGTGCTTGTTCTTTATCTAATGACGTAGACATATGTTAAAAACTAGTCAATCTGTGAAATAAAAAAGTTTTTTTTTAATTGTAGACCCCATGAAAACCGGCGAAAAGGTTTTCTTATTCTCATACATTAAAAGTCAACCAATTTGGCACTCCTTACGATTTTGGAACGCTTGCTTCTTTCAATCCGTTCAGGAGACTCGAGCAAAATTGGTGGACCAAGGAAAGTGAGTATTTGCAGAGTTTAAGTAAACTGCCTCCCCCTTTCCTGCATTGTTAACCCTTTCTCAAGGTCGCGATGTTGCGGATAATGTAAAAAGCACCAAAACCAAGTTCTTCCCACTATGTGTAACGGTTATTTGTTCAAACAGCGTTGCCATTACACAAGTAGTAATAAGGTGTTGGGACCTGTTCTTTCAGTAACCTATCGCGTCGATCTAAAGGTTCAACAATTGTAAACGGGAAGTTTAGTGTGAGGAAAAAAAACCTGACAAACATAGACAAAACTAGTTCTCGGTTGCTAGTTGTGCGTTTTTAACGATTTTTGTCATAGCAAGGTGACCAACTTTGTACACAAAAGAGAGAGTTAAGAGGAACAGAAGAATCCACCCTCGCATTTTAATGGTGTATAAGTTTAGGTTGTGCTTCATTTAAACTAATGGAGAAAAAACGGTCAAACATGACTTTCCTTAATGGAATTTGATTTTAACATTACATGAAAGACACGTTTCAAGGTGGAAGTAATGTCCACCTCAACGTCCTGCGAAAACTAACGATTGTTATTTTAAACTTGCTGGATTAGCCTAAGCACGTCCCAGTTATGGTCACTCTCAGTTTATTGCAGAAGGTAAGGGTAATAATTTATTCTATTTAAGGATCGCCTTGAAGGAAAATGCAGTCTTTTATTAGCCCCACTTGAATTCTGTGTTCCGTTTAAAACTTTTGTGATAAAATCAGCCTTTTCAACAGGACCTCATGGAATGAAATCACCAGGGGGTGAATGAAATTGTTCAGAGCTTCTAGACACGTGACAAGTTGAATACTTTCTTTTTTACATTTCCACTTGAATATGCTGCAAAATACATGGAAGTAAAGTTACTTAATGCCAAGGTGCGGAATGCTGTTTACATGGTGGAACGAGGGCCGCATAGAAATCTAACCACGAAATTATGTTAAGCCAACGAAATAATAAAAAGGGAATTTTGGGTAATGTAAATCGGAAAAAATAAATAATATATCTCTCTGCCTGGTTTTAGTTGATTGAAATCCAAAAAACCTCGCAGATATTATTTGTGGGCCCTAGTATGTGGTCTGGAGCCACATCGGGGTCAGTGAGTTGGATCTGGCTCGATTACGCTACTCTGTTACCAGCGATGATGAAGACAACCGGAGAGGACGTGGACACAGCCGTTTTCTTTAGAGCTCAGTCAAGTTGGTGTCGTTGTGTTGGGGGGGGGGCATTTACGCGAGTGTATATATAGTTCAAGTGGGTGAAACAGTGTTGGTCATAAATGTGCTAACATCGAGATCTTGGTATTGTTATTATCTGGGATAATTGTATGCGCTGATGAGAGGGGAGTTGAGGATCCATGGCGCTGATGACATGCGTGGAGAAGAGAGACATTGTGTCGAAGGCTTGAGTGATCGGATTAACGAGTGTGTGTACCAGAAATTAATTCTCCTTATTTTAAAATCGTCCATTCTCTGTCTATTTCGTTATGTGTAAACATGAACGCAAGATTTGGTGTGAACTCGGTGGCGACTGGACACGATTGTGGGCATTCAAACGGTTTACTTGGTTCAAATTATAAACGTTGATGCGTGATTAACGATGTGAATACATGCACTTACATAATTTCGTCATTTATTTTCAGATCCGATGCTGAAATTGATAATGCCATTATTGGCCAAATCAGGTAAGTCAAAAAATGTTCATCCAAATTAGCTTAGTGTTGATGTGGGTTCAGAGGACGAATTAACTCGTCAGATTCAATTCGCATGCTTTTAAATAATCCAGCATACAAATTGATGTGAATGCAGAACTGTGGGCATTTGATCATGAAGACGAATGCTAGCATTTTAAAACTGTCTGAGCTTTATTCACCTAATTGCCGGTTGCTTTGAATTGGAATGTCACATGGGGAAGCACACCAACTGTATGCCCTACTGTCACCCTTCGTGGGTATGTTCATTAGGGCATGAAGATATGCTTTAGTTTCTAAACGCACATTTACGCATTTTTGTTCTAGATCTTATCTCAATACAATGCAAGTTTTTAATCTTCATGCAACAATGAGAGAAGAGTTTCTCCGAAAGCAAGGTGACCTCTTTAATCTCCGTCAAGGTAGGCCTCAGCTCAGTTTAGTGTAGTGCAATTAGGCGACATTGGGGCTCAATTAGGGCCAAACATCCCAATGTGCTCGACTCATTTTCCAAATCAATTCCACACCTATCGATAGAGGCCGTAGATGAGGCATCGCACTAAAAAGAAATTCCATTAAACAATCTTATAACAATCTTGGATTCCAAAACTTTGTCGACCTATGTAATTTGAGTGAAATCAAAGTACGAGGAGCATTTTTTACCGGTTGACTCTTTGAAAGCATTGAAATTATGGCTAGTCAAGTAGACCACCCTAATTGTAAACAATACTTATTTATGAATCTTTAGTTCCTACGTACAGACCAAAG